GCTTGCTCAGGAATTCTGGGAGTTGAAGTCCATAATTCATAAAAGGGCCATAGTTGCCCACCCCTGCAATACAGAGTATGGCCCACATGAAATCATGTCATTTATTTTTACTGGAAAACTAACAACTTTGACATCAACACACAGTGGGAAGCCAAATAGGCTGCTGAACGCCCAGATACAGGCAGTTATGTAGATGACCCTACACAAAAGGTGTCAGGTTTTGACCTTCCTTGTCAGCATTGGTCAACTCTGAACAGGATCCGTAACCAACATGGAGTCTGCAAGGACTCATTGTTTAGGTGGGGTCTTGTCTCTACCCTTCAGTGTGACTGTGATGCTCCTCGACAAAATATCCATCATACTGTGTCCGAAGGTCCATCAAAAGTTTACATCGGCCCAATGTCTGCTTTTTTTCAACATAGACCACCCTGTTCTTGAGTGGCTGGGTGGACTGAACATTAACATTTCAACCACCATAAGTCCATGTGTTTGCCATACGCTAAGTAAATAAATAAACTGGAAAACTATTGAGAAATGGGAATGCTATTTTTGTGTAAAACACACAAAACAAGGCTTTTTGCGGTTAACTTATCAATAAATCATGTTCATACTCAAAGATGGAGAACTTCATCCCATCCACTTTGGACTGTCACCTGCCCTGCCCCCAATGCAGCTCTGCAGGCTGAATGCCAGTTACTACAGAGGGTTCAAAGAAAAATGGTGCTAGAGTCAATGTTACAGCTTGCTGCTTTTAATGGGGAGGGGGCCACAAACAAATCCCCAAATCTGGAGCCAGTTCCATTCTGCTCCCCCAATGCAGTTAAGACACAACTTTGCCAATCAAAAATAGCAAGCTGATCCCCACAGCAGATAAACATGTCAATCACATGATTCATTCTACATCAGTTTAAATACTGTGTATCACATGGATTCACCGAACTGAAATGCACAGCGTGGCATAACAAAATCTTGTTTTCCTTTCATTTTTCATTTTGACATTGTATTATATTTTGCTTATCTGGATGAAACTGCCAAGTCAAGTAAGGATACCTTCTTCCAAATATTCAAGGACTTTCCATATGGGACAATATCCTGCTGATACTTTTGATGCCACTGTAAAACCTTGCAGTGGAAGGATCAGTTTTACCACAGGTGGTCACAACCAACACCAAAATCACTCACCCAGAGATAAAATAGTTTCTCAAAACGAACTCTTGAAACATATGAAGTGGTGAGTATATTTACAACTCTGCAATCAATGTATTTTTAGCAGAGGTATACTTGCTCTTCCTGTTAACAATGCATACAAAGATCTCTCCTGAATTCAATGCCAGCAATTTTCTCTTCCCTCTAATACAATAGTTAAAACAAACTTGTATTTAACAAGATTTAAAGAAAATGGATGGACGTATCTTTTTTAAAAGTGTACTATGACAAAACTACAAAGCTCCCCAAATAAAGCAATCCAAATTAATTCAGTTAAAAGGGGATGTGAAGTAAAACATATGCCACAATTAGCGTATCGTGAAGTTTTGAGAAGAGGCTTTATTTTATGAAGAAAACAAACAGTTTGAACAAAAGGAACACAAATGTAAATGGGAATTTTATGAGAGACTGCTGATCAAACCGGTTCTTAACCTTTACAAATCTTCTGTTTACTTGTTTCAAGATAATTTGTTAAGTCCTGGTAGCATCGAACAATCTGAAACAGACATTTTAGTTGTATATTTAGTTGCACCATGTCTTTCCACCAAGGCTGAAATTGCAAGACAGCCTTTATATATAATCTCTCTCCCTCCCTCCCTTCTCTTTTCCTTTTCAGTGCTGCAGCTAAAGATGCAAGCCAAAGTACAAGCAAGAAAATTTAGCCAACCATAGCTGAAGAGGCTCACCTCCTCCCTGCCCCATGTGGCATATCTGGGCCAATCACTATGCTACACCCAGCTGTTCTGCTCTGAGCCTGCATCCAATGACTGACAGCAGTGCACTGTTACCGCAGAAGGTGTCATCCATCACTGGAAAAATAGAGCTTTGCAAGTGTACCAGAAACTTTAGACAGCTTAAATCCATCTTAACATCTGCATTTTCTCCTTTCACAAGGCACTCTTTTTAAATTGAGAGGAGGGGGTGTTCAGAAAATGCACACACGTACACAGAAGAATAAACAGGGGGGGGGGAAATCAAAACATTTATGAAACTTTCTGTCAAGACAGCTGGTTTTCAGTTACCAAAACCCTGAAACAATACAACTGCATGCCAGCAAGTTTTTAGTTAATATGGCTTCTTTCCTCCAGCATTTTAAAGTGCCAGGTGAAAGCTAATTCAACAAATTGTTTGTAACATGCCTCTCAATTGATACCTCTGTAAAAATAAAATATAATGTGGGAAAATAAAAAATATCCCTGGAGGATGCCAGCTTGTTAAGAATTTTGAGACAAAATTTTGCAAATTGCTTATGGAGTGAGGCAGCTGGTGTTTCTCATCTGAAGACTCTTCAAACTTCTCTAAAGAAAGTGTATTTTTAAAATTATTAATTACATGCATGGGTGTGAACTTGTGTACGTACACACACGTACAAAGGTAACTATGAAGTTCCGAGCTTTTTACTTCCAGGAATTATAGTACATCTAAAGGTACTTTACATTTAAACATTTAAATCTAGTAACAGCATCCAAGATGCACCCCACAAACTTTTCCATAAGCTTTCGTTTCTCTTTTTTTAATAACTTAGATATGGACAACTAAGATTAATCAAGGGCAAAAGCAGAAGGAATATTTCTCTCTCTCTCTCTCTCTCTCTCTCTCTGTGTGTGTGTGTGTGTGTGTGTGTGTACTCAATCTTTGGGCTCCAATTATTTCTTTGAATGAATGCTACTATTCTAATGCCCAGGATTTCACCTTGATTGCATTGTACAATATCCCCCCTCCCATGACTTTAGTATTATGTCACTCAAAATGTTAACACAGAGACACTAATCTCTGAACAATTTAAAACAATCTTCCAATCAAAATCCTGCAAAATTCCAGAGCAAAAAAATATGGTGAAATAAGAGTGGGGTTACAGAATGTACTCAAAGAGGAAAGAACACAGTGACCAACAGGTCTGTTTATTCTGCACTAAATTTGCCTCTTGTTTCAAGACTGCAACGCAACCCACTCGCAACTATTTTATTCCAAGATTTGCAATCCAGTGAACCAGGAAACAGACTCAGTTTCCAAAGCAATCATGGAACTCACTCAATCAGTTGGGTCAATTAACATGTTGGTAGTCCTCATTTAGCAACCACCATTGGGACTGGAAACTTGGTTGCTAAAACAGTTGTTAAGTAAAACTGCAACTGTGCTTATGATCTTACTTTGCTTTGCTTTGCTTTACAGTATAGAAACGTCAAGGTAATGAACACATGAATTTGTCAAAAACTTATTTGTTCTTCACCATCATAACTGCAAATGATTGCTAAATCATTCGCAACTAATCAAGGAGAGAACCAACCTAGAACTAAGAAGAAATTTCCTGACAGTTAGAACAATCAACAATTTTGCCTCCAGAAATTGTGGGTGCTCCAACACTGGAAGTTTTTAAAGAAAAGATTAAACAACCATTTTTGTCTGAGCAGGGGGTTGGACTAGATAGAAGACCTCCAATGTGCCTTCCAACTCTGTCATTCTGTTTCTCTGTTAAATGAGGCAGTCACTGAAGTAGGCCTACTTGTATTCCCTTTCAAACTAATCTGCTTCACAGGGTAATGGTGAGGACAAAATTAGAGAGGCCATGAGGCGCATAGTTTAGACCAGGGCTCTCCAACCTAGGCAAAACTGAAAGACTTGTGGACTTCAACTCCCAGAATCCTTCAGCCAGCTGGCTGAGGAATTCTGGGAGTTGAAGTCCACCAGTCTTAAAGTTGCCAAGGTCAGAGAACCCTGGTCTAAACTACGTGCCTCATGGCCTGGTCTAGAAAGGCCAGAGTATAAGGCCTCAGAGGCGATATTAAATCCAAACTCACCAAAACCAGGATCCAATTTAAAAATTGCATTTAAATGTTTTCACTCAAGCGTAAGTTATACAGCATATACCCGAAGAGTCTGTTGTTAGCATATCCTTGACAAGGACATTTGTAGTACAGGTCAATTTAAATTCAAGGGGGGAGGAATCCTGGGATGCTAGGATTGAGGTGTGTTGCTTCTTTCTTTGCTTCGAAAAAGTTTACACCAACATATGGAAAAAAACAATTATGAAGCCCAATTTCTTCACTGAAATCAAAAATAAAAAGCCTTCCATCTTTCTGACCTTGGACTTGTTCATTTCGTTGGTGTCTTTCAGCACAGTCTCTTTACAAAACCATTCAAGGCACAGTGAGCCCTGATAAAAGAAGTTAATGTTTACTGAAACCTGTGCATGAACTGTACTAGACCTGATAGAACTTTTTTTAAAATAAAAAGTCAAAGTTCTGCTTACAGCATCTATTACCATTTAAAAAGAATGGGATAATTATGATTTTCTAATAAGCCATTATCAAATAGAAAGCACAAGGAGGATATGGGGACCCAATAAACTGAGTATGGACAAATACGTGGAACTCTTTTTTTTTTTTTTTTTTACTGTAGATAATTATGTCAGAGGAAAGTGAGAAATGACAGCACTCATCACATGTGTGCAAGTGAACAAGAAACAGTTATCTGTACAGAGGTAATTACAGGCACATATTACAGGTGCAGATCCCAAATTATATTCTCAGAATTCACAAATAAGGCTGCAGAAGCTCCTTTCCTAAACTCTAAGTGAGCCACTTACTTTAACTCTGTTACCCACAACGAGGCACCATATAAATACAATGCATAGAGCAGCCCAGTGCACATATTCTGGAGAGCCTCTGCTTTAAAATGCACATTTTAAATTGCACATGAACATGGCTTTAAGGTACAAACATTACATTTTGCAATGGGTATCATGTTGCCATCCTAGCAAGAGCATCAAAGAGCCAAAGATCAAGGATCAGGGTCACAAAATTATTGAATTCTTCACCCATATCTAACAGGCACTGTCAGCTACTAAGCAGGAACAGCAAAAAAAAAAAAAGAAGAAGGCCCAATTCAAATTATTCACATAATGCATTCAGCATAACTTTATACATTGATCAGCATTTCATGCAACTGCTGAGGATATTCCCATAAGGGAATTGTTTC